CCAAAACTGCATTTAAGATTTTGCATTTCCCTAGTCAACTGAAGCATGCTGGAAAGGTGCAAATTGGATTTCTGCAAGAATTTGTCATTTTCACCTCATGAAATTTTGCTCCATTGTTTTGGCCCTGGAGTGTGTTCAAAGAAGGGCAACAAAGCTGGTGCGGGGTCTGGAGCACAGGCCTTATGAGGAGCGGCTGAAGGAGCTGGGATTGTTCAATCTGGAGAAGAGGAGGCTCAGGGGAGACCTTATTGCTTTCTATAACTACCTGAAGGGAGGTTGTAGCGAGCTGGGAGTTGGCCTCTTCTCTCATGTAACTGGTGATAGGGCTAGAGGGAATGGTTTCAAGCTGCACCAGGGAAGATTCAGGCTGCATATTAGGAAATACTACTTCTCTGAAAGGGTGGTCAGGCACTGGAATGGGCTGCCCAGGGAGGTGGTGGAGTCGCCGACCCTGGAGGTGTTCAAGGAACATTTGGCCATTGTGTTGAGTGACATGGTTTAGTGAGAACTATTGGTGATGGGTGGATGGTTGGACTGGTCTTGTGGGTCTTTTCCAGCCTTGGTGATTCTATCATTCTATGATTGTTTCCCAAAGTCTGACTTTTCTTGTATACTCAGCAATGCCAGTTTCCTGACATATTTATCAGAATACTTGACGCTTCTATTAATGAAATAAGAGAAGGCTGTTGATTTTCTTTTTTTTTTTTTTTTTTAGTTAAGCACCTTTACATTTCATATTAGTTCTCTTATTCTCCATCTTTATTTTTTCTAAGCTATTTTCACATTTCTCCTTTTCCACCTTCATATTTCTTTCTCTTTGTTTTCACAGCACACATGTCACTGTACTTTCCAATTCTTTCCTCAGAAGCCTTTGCTTCTGTAGCCAGGGCTTGAGCACTCACTTGTGGTGTGGTAAGGGATAGGGTAAAATGAGCCTGATGATATTCTCTGTTGTCACTCTTAAGGCTGACTTTCTGTTGCCTGAAGTAGAAAAATGATAGCACTGTGCCTTAAAGCACCAGCAGAACTCATCTCGGGTTTGTATTTAGTAACTTATATTTATAGGTTAAAGTGTTTAGTTCAGTGAGTTTTGTTATCTGCAGTCATCCACTTTTTAAATGACTTTTCTAGGACATCGTTATTGATAGATTCTCTGCAGTTAATCCAAAGAAAAATGAACTTGCTTTGAAAGAGCAAGAATCTGTTTTAATTCAGATGTTAGAGACTTGTTCTAGAATTTCCTCTGTTTGAGAGAAGCCACAGAGGTTGGCATGAAGGAGTATTTGAGAAGTTCTCTGGGCATACCTCTTCTGTAGAGCATGTTGGATTGTGAAATTTTCTCTTAAGTCCTGACAAATATGTCCAGGAAAGGATGTTTCCGGCATTTACAGGCTGCTTTGTTGCTCTTAGCTTTATTCTCAGTTATTGCTTTCACATTTCTCTTTTTGTTCTTCTAGCTGTCATCACCAGCATCTAAAGTTACTTCAAGTGCAGCACAGAATAAACATATCTGTTTTGTACTGAAAGTGGCATTTTTAGCCACGTTGTACCTTTACTTTCTGCTTGATTCCACCTTTAAAGCGGAAATCATCCGGAAAGCCTTGTTGTATTTCAGCTACTGAATCCTCTGACTGATTTTGCTGTTGCCTTGTGCTCAGTAATTTCACACACATGTACACCATTCAGTGTGTGTGGTAGCTCTTGTGGTGAGAATTATTACTATATTAATGCTTTTACAAGTTTTGTAGCTTCTTACAGTAGTGACCTCGGAAAAGTATTCAGCTTATTTTCCCCTTTAGAATGTAGATGATGTTTTGTTTGAACATTTTCTGATTTTGTGGGCTGTGGGAGCTGTTTGTCTCTTTGCTCTAGAGCAGTCTGCAATGCTCTGCAGCATGTTTGTTTTTCAAAATGTGGCTGTGAACAGCTGCTGTCAGAGCTGTGTCTCCTGCCAGAGTAGGCAGGTCTGCCCCTGTGCTTTACAGATTGATATTAAAAACCCCCAGTGACTGCATTTCTCCCTTAGATTAAAATTGGGGTTAGGGAAAGATTCTGAAACTGTGAAGATATGGTTTCTTTTAGTTCCTTTGAAAATCTTCAAAAAGACTCTACTAACAATGCACCCATAAAATTAATGGCAGAGGGAAAAGATGGAAATTCTTTCAATTAGAATGTTGTGAAAAACCATTATTCGTACCTGAGAAGGGGGAAAGAATACACTTTCTGCAGAGAATGTGTTATTAAATAAGGCAGTGTGTTTGAAAAATTGCAAGAAACGAAGGATTTTTCTTGCATGTGGCCAAAAGTCCTGTCTGTTAACATATGTTAAAAGTAGCAAAATAGGAATGTATAATATAGGAAATACAGGAAAGTACTAAGAACTTCTTGGTAAATATAAGGGAAAGATGTGACTTCCCTCTGTACCATATCAAGTTTGTGCTCCAGTACATCAGCACGTCTTTTCCATTTTTGCCTGCTATTTTATTTGGTAATTATAATGTCTTCCCATTTTAAATTGCAACACGCAGGTTTGCTGGAAGCAGTTCTGTGAGGTTTAAGCATCATGAATTTCCTCACATTTTCTGGCCTCTTTTTTTTCAGGAAGATCCACCTAATCATAATATTTCAGTCTAATGGACCAGCTTTGCTGATGTAAACTTAGTTGCCTTTGTTTAACATTACTTCATTTTGCCTACTGGGGTCTGTTCGAATTGTATTTGGGCTGGACCTGAGAACCTGGAAGAAGTACAAAGGATAGATTAAAGGGGTGGAGGGAGATGGCTCTGTTTTGTTCCAGGGTGAAGTTGTAATTGTAAGCACTCTGTGAGTAAGAGTAACTGCAGAGTAAAGAAGTTCTCTTCTGGAAAGCTGTGTCTCTAAGTGAGAAGACATAATCCTGCAGGTGGCATAAGTAGAGAACCTAACGTGGGACTGGGATCGGCTGCAGTCACTCTGAAGCACACGATAAGCAGCTGGATTCAAACGCAGCTCTCAGCGGGTATCCCCAGGGCCACAGCTACCCGCAGGCTTCTCATGGCATGGCTGGCTTAGGATGCTTTCTTTACATGTTTCCGGCAGTTGTGTTGGCCCAGGTGTCTAAGGGGATTTACGGTATGTTGGATTAGGGATCCGTGTTATTCTTTTTCACTGGGTTATTTTTAAGGAGGATCAATTTCCTGAGCCGATTCACTGACCTGTCCCAGTTTAATGATACAATGAGACAGGCTGCGGAGGTGGCTTCCACGTTCTTGCTGTTTAACGTTGTTTTGCTGACAAAGATTTCTGTTTAACCACAGCTGAAGTGGTGTCTGATGTAAGAAGAGAAATTAAGAGATTATTGCACCATTTTACTCATCGGCACATCAGTGTGATGGGGAGGGAGATAAGTAGAGGCAGGGTGATTTGTAAACACAAGATTATGTGCAGCTTGGTGGAGTACGTCCTTTTCGTGTTCTCTTGATGAAAGTGGATCGTGGGACTGACCTAATATGAGCTTGAAGAGAAAGTGCAGAATTTGAAGGAAGATTGGAATAAGTTTCTGGATAGGAAACCTATAAACCAAAACGTTGAAGTTCATAGGTGGTAGGCTGAGTGAGAGCAGACCCACGTTATGAAAGCTCTGGAGAGAAGTGGTCGTCCATCATTGCTTCCCTCTCCCCCTCTGCTGGTGTGGTTTATGCAAGCATGTTAGATACTGTGTCCCATCTTCACTCATGCTTTTAGTGTTATAATTTTGATCTGAGATTGTATCACTGGAATGATGGCTTCCTTACTACCTAGTTTCTGTCAAATGATTTTTGAGTGACATTAATTGAGTTATTCTCACTTATCTTTAATTGTTCTTATGATAATTTATACTAAAATATCTGTACCCATATGGTATGTTTTAAATGTATTTCTTCAGTAAGAATGCAAAGCACATTGGATAACATTTGCTTATTTTAGAAGCTGGGGAGAACTGTTCAGAATGTAGTCCGAGCTACTCTGAGGTTTCATTCAGTGTTTTATGAATGCATTGCAAAACTGATGCTTGAAGTAAGGTGTGTTTTTTTCAGACACCATTCAAATTCAATCTGTGAAAAATCTTTTGTCTGCTTTAATAACTCATTACGTCAATTATGTTGCCTTCCCTGCTTCTTTAGATGCATCGGAGTCACGAAATAGAGCTTTTTATTCAGGATGCTGGTTGCTTTTCTTTACTGGCACTGATGATTGTGTGTGATTCAGTATGTTGGTATTGTTTGAAGTGCAAGCAAAAGTGTCAGCTTTATGTAGCCTTTGTACATGTTTTTTTTTTTTTTTCCTTAGATATACAAACAAATATTTAAGGCTTGGATTTAAAGGTGTTTCAAATTTGATGATGTATGTATATTTTTAATATAGTTGTTATTTAAGCTATACAATATTGTCCTCCTCCCTGCACACCAATAGAGAACATATTCTGTTGCAGGGAACTACTTATTTGTAGTCACTGTATCTGATTTGTGTTTTTCCCTGGGACAGTGGAGGATTAAAGCAGATTATAGTGTTGGAATAATGTCCGACTCCTTGTGTTCCATTTAGTCATAAATAAACCCCTGAAAAATCGGAATGTTGCTATGGTGATGTTTGTAAAAGCCTGGGATATGGAGTAGTGAGCCGCTTAGAAGCATAATGTCACTTACGGTAATGAGCGTGCTGTGCTTCTAACAGCAATGAGTTTACCTGATGCTCTGTAACTTCTGCAGCCTGTGACGGGTTCTGAAAGCAGATGTGTAAATTCAGTTCACCTGATTATACTCTGTTTATTAATTTTCTCCTAACAAATGGAAAATTATGTTTTGTCTGTTCACTTTCCAGCTTTTGTTCTATTTTGTAGCATTACAGAGAAACAAGCAAAGATTTCCACTCTCCGTATGCTTTGCATCATGCTTTGATTGAATGAAAACCATAACGGTTCATAACATTTTTGTTATAAACTGTGTAAACACTGGTTGTCCTTGTGTTTTTGTTTCTTTTAGTCTTTATAACCTGGCTTCACTGGAACTTAGAGAGAATTTGCTGACATATTTACCCGAGTAAGTGACATTTCAAATGTTTGATTGTGTTAGTGTAGAATGTTCTGATTAAAAACGTGGTGGCATCTGAAACAGAATGACAACTAGAAACAAATACCCAGTTTCAGGTTGACAACCGTTATGAGATGCAGCTTTGTTTTAACAACAATTACTTTCATCCATTCTTTGTAGATGTAACTGGTTAGCTGCTGGAGTCTACGGTCTCTTTAGTTTTTTTTTTTTTTTTTTCCTGAGCATAGCTATTCTGTATAAAATGTATTAATGTCAGATATTTCTTCCTGCATTAACTAAGCTAGGCTTAGTATCAGCAGTGGGAGTGGCAGTTTGGATTACTCTTGTGCTGAATTTTCCTTTTTTCAGGCAGGATACTGGGATCTCATAGTTTTTGGCTCTGAATTGGTATATGTACCTTCATGAAATTCAAATTAATATTCATATTAGGGTCTTAAGTGAACAAAAGCTTCAAAAATCTGGAGATCAAATCCTTTATATAAATCCAGACCTATTGATGGCTGAATTCTGCTCCCCTCTTCCCCCAGTGGTTTGCTGGGGGGACACAAAAATTGAGTGTTTTTATACTGTCTGTATTGTGACTGAGTAGTTTGTGATTTTTTTTGTACGATTATTCAGTTATCTTACAGTCTGGGGGTCCCTTTTGGTTGCTTGGAAGAAGCTGTTTCTATCTGTAATGGAGTAGTTTCCTTTCTTCACTGCCTGTTCCCCAGTTATGTTTGGATCCCTTTTTCCTGTCAGTCTACCCAGTACCTATGTTGCTGTGCTTTATAGCTGTGAGCCACAGGGAACTTGAAATGTCAGTGATCAGAAGTTATGAACTGCTAGCTAGGTTTCTCCATTCAGTGTCAGACAGAAGCTGTCGTAGATGTTGACAATTTTATTGCTACTGGAAAATCTGGAGTGTCAGTAATGTAACTGACAAGTCTCTGGTTTTTGTGTTACTGCAGCTTTGGGAAAGGTAAGCAAAAGTTTTACAGTAGACTGCCTTTGAAGTAGGAAGTTAATGCTTTGTATCACATTCAGAGAACTTCTTACATCCCTTTGGGATTTTGCTTCTTTGCATCCTCAAATCCATCCCAAAGTTCTACAGAAATTGATAGGTTAGGTCGACAAGACAAATGATGAATTTGGTGAGTCTTGATTAGCACTGTTTTAGGTACTGTCACATGTGACCACAATGTGGAATTTTTATTCACTTGCGTAACAGTAAATGCCCCCTGAAATAAGTCTAACCAACTATACTGAACTATGTGGCATTGTCCACCCCAAGGATTGATGGTTAAAATCAAGGATAATAATCTGATTGCTTATACTGAGTTTTATGTTTCAAGAGCATACAATTATCCTGACAAACCAAATTATTTTTTTCAGTAAGATATTGCTGTAGGAAGTCTATGCCCAGTAAAATTAACTGTCTGCAATATGTAGTAATTTGAAATACAAGTTTCAGTAAAATGAGCTCATTCAAATACGTTTGGTTTCTGTTGGTTTAGTCTGATGTGGTTTTGTTTCGACTTATCTCACAGATCACTTGCCCAGCTGCAGCGTCTAGAAGAACTTGATTTAGGAAACAATGAACTTTATCACTTGGTAAGAGAATATGCTACTGAAAGTGCATATTGGTCTTGTTTCACACGTAATTAATTTAAATAGGCCATGTGATATTCAAAATTAAAAAAGAAAAATACATGGAAGGGAAAGTCTTTTTATATGTACAGATACATTTTGGCAGTGAGTTAGAGCTTCCCATATCTGCTTTATCTTGTTCAGTGCAGTATTATCTTGCCTGAAAAGCTTCTGCAACTCTTCTCCAGAGAATGAGAGTACCCCACAAGTACTTTCTATGAAAAAAATGAAAGAGTGTGAAGGTCACAAGCTTAGAACTAACAGTCAAAATGACCACACGAGCATTTGTCAAGAACTGGAAAGGGTGAGCACAGAGCTCAACTGTATTTCCAGATTGGAATTGGGAGTCTTTGGGATAATGCTGAGGCAAACTTTAGGGTTGCAATGTCGTTTATTGTGGCAGACAGGTATACCAGGAGGTATGTAATCTTCATTAAGCTGGCTCAGTTGAATCTTGGATTTGCAGTAGAGGAAGAGGATGCATGCAATTTGATAGTTCCATGTCACCTGAAGTCTTACAGGATATTAAATAATTAGTTTGTAAGATGGAATTCCCAGGTGGTGACAGTCACTCTTGCTGCATTTGGCTGTGGAACCTCTAAGTAATGCTTGTAGTAAGAATTGCTTTACTCAAATAGTAATTATGGGATGGTCATTCATTTGTATGTCCCGTGTTACTTGACATTACCTTTTATGTTATAGCCAGAAACAATTGGTGCACTTTTCAATCTTAAAGACCTCTGGTTGGATGGAAACCAATTAGCTGAAATACCTCAGGTAAGAATGGGCTCTAGTGATAATGTATTGAAGGTGCTTTTAAAGGAAAACCTTTTCATTAATATCTAAAAGGAGACAATCTAAAATTGGCTTGTTTTCTCATTTCACTTTGCATAGGTTTGGCTTTGGATGTTTAAGATTTTTAATAATTTCCTCTTTAAGGGATTATACGTTATCAAGTATAATCATGTGTGCTGTCAGACGCTTTATTTTAAACTTTTTGTTGAAGGAATTGTTTGCTAATAGACACATTGTTCTGTTTGTAGGATGACGTACTCTTTATGATCTTGGTGCGATGATCAGAGAACCACTAACTGACTGCTCTAATCCTCACCTTTTATACCTATCTAAGTCCCAGTTTCGACAATTTTGAGAATGAATCACTGTTTTCGGCCGTCATCTTCCACATAGATGCATTATTTAGTAGTAGAACAATGGTAAAACTGTTGCCATGAAGGGAAACTTTGACCTATGGAGGCAAATCCCCCATTTGACATCAGTCATAGAAGAGGGACCTTAGCATTTAAAGCTTACAGCACTCTAAATTCCCTTCCCTAAGAGCAACTATAATGTGTGGGTGGGTTTCTTTTCCTTCTTTTTCATTTAGAGCCAAGTTAAAACCTGCTTTCCCGTGTTCCTTGTTCAGCTTGTTGTTATTTGCTGTATTGATCTCACTGTCAACAATGTAACTTGGAAATTGGTTACAGTTTAGTGGGCTTTGTTGACTTGGTTGTTGGCTTGGCCTAATTATTTTTTGAGTATATCTATTTAAACACTGATAGTCATTCATAAAAGGTCAAAAGTAACTTCAGCAGCTGCTTTTGTTGAAGCTGGCTGTAACTGTGTGTTTTGTTTGATGTCCGAAGGATGAACTTGTAGGATAAAAGCTGTGTGTCTGTTTAATGAAAGATTCTCTTGAGAGGCAAACATTTTCTAAAATAAAAAAGCCATCCCGTCAGTTAGAGTCAGGGCTGTCTATGTATGAAAATACAGTATTTGTGAAAGTAAAGGACAACTCCCTTCTTCCTCCTATCGTTCTGTTCTCCCAAAGATCATTTAAATGACTGAAGTGTGAACTATTGTAGAGCACGTGTAGGGGTGTATGTGCACATGGGGAATGGGAGGGTTGCTCTTATGCTTAATAGGGAGAAAGGTATTTCTCTGTCAGACTTTTAAGCTGATTGTCAGATTACCATTGTAAAAATTAAGTAATCATAATTGTAGGTGATGGCAGTATAACTTGGCACTTCAAAGATGCTTGCTAGAGCAACACTCCCAATTCCGATTTCTTCATTTGTTGCAGCTGGGAGATGTGAAGATATGAAATCCCTAGATGTCATGGCATGTTGCTGTATTGGACAGGAGAGACTAATCCTAATTTGCCTAAGGTTAATTGGGAGGGGCAGACCTTAATTATGTGAAGGTTGATAATCAGTTCTGAAAAAACAGCTTTTTGTTCTTTCCTTGAGATTTTTTTTACTCAGTTTTGGTTGGTGCTTGCCTGGGTATGCTTAGTTAGCTTGTAAGGCTACTAAAGCCAGTTGTGATATTTCGAACAAGAAACTGCAACTTGGTTGGTTTATCATTCAAAATTTACTTCCATATTTCTTTCAACCTTCAGAGGTCATACAAAGAATTGCTTTTCTTTCTGGAATTTCATTGTGGTAGCACATTTTTCAAATTGCTTTGTGACATGTTGGAGCGTGACTAAAATTTCACCTTGTGTTACAGGAAGTAGGAAACCTGAAAAACCTGCTTTGTCTGGATGTTTCTGAAAATAAATTGGAATGCCTTCCTGAAGAAATTAATGGTCTGACTTCTTTAACAGACTTGCTTGTTTCTCAGAATTTACTTCAAGTCTTACCCGATGGCATTGGTAAATATAGGATGAATGTTATCATTCAGAACTGCTTAATCCTCTGTAAATTGGAAGTCATTTATTTCCGTGTCTTTTGAAGTCTTCTCTTTTTGTGTAAGAGATGAGCTTGTCTTAGCTTTTTTTTTTTTTTTTTTTTTTTTGCTTAGTATGAAATACATAACTATTAATTTAGCATTTTAATTGTCTACATAATGACTACCTCTTAATTCTTCTTTGGCCTTCACTTGGTATTTACTAGACCAAAATAAAAGTTAGTATATCCTCACTGTTCTTACTGTGTGTAAGTCATGGTCAAAACTCTTCAACATTGTAAAATTCTAGCTTGTAGCATATTGTCAGTCACTTGATAAGATTGGCTGATGGTATTGCTACAAAAAAAAACCCTCCTCTTTGGTGGGGATGTGTAATTATCTTGAGCTGGACGATGTGGTTAATCCTGTATGGGGCCCAGTGGGAGACTGTTCCATTTTCAGCCTTTACCCCTGTGGATCCAAACTACAACCTTTCTGGTTTGGAACACTTGAAAAACAGTTTACAGATTTCCTTTCTCAAGTAAATATCTTTGCCTCTGAAGTAGCTAGTGGGACATTATTTCTTTACTACTCATCAGCTATTTATCCAGAATTTCTCTTGGTGCGAGAGTGTGCCTTTTCCTTCCCAGGACTTTTTTCAATCCTGTAGCAGAGAAAGAATTTAAATAAGAAAGTGGAAAAGAATGGACAGACATCCCCACTCTCTCCATATGCTATGTGAGCCTGAGAAAAGATAAATATTTCTTTAGAACTTAAATTTTAGGGGTGTGGGCTGAATCCTGTCCTACAGTTGAATAGCAGCCCTTTCTTATGGTGTGAGCTAGTCAGTACAGTGTTGTACATCATAAGTGATGTATCATCTTTTGGAAGGGTATAGATCATGCAGATTGCGAGAGGGAAGTTTGTCTGTAACACCAGCTGCTAAACAAGAGGAGCTGCCTATTCTTAAGAATCCTGATAAATAGAGATCCATTGCTAGGGAAGGTGATTGTGAAGGGCCAGGCCATTTTGTGCCAAGCCTAATTTCCATGTGCTTTGTAGCATTTTCTCTGTGTGCTTTTGTTGTAAATACAAACATGCTCCAGCACCCCATGGGCTGCCTGTTTCAATGCAGCACCACCCCCAAGTGAGGAAACTTTTCTTGGTGTCTCACTAAGGCCTCCTACACTTGAATTTGTGGCCATTTCTGTCTTACCAGCACTGCAGAGAAGTGTTTGGCTCTGTCATCTCTGTCGCTGTTTTTTACGTAGTTGTGGGCTCTTCCTTGCTGCCTCTTTGGCTGCCCTTCTGTTGTAGTAGACAGTGCCAGCTCCCTCAGCCTCAGCTCGTAAGTGTCCCAGCTACCTAAACAGCTTTGTGCTGGACCTCCACTGCCTTCCCCCTGTTTCTTTTGAATTAGCAGGGGCTTGGGACATGAAAGTGAGCATGCTTTTACAGATGTGGCCTCACCTGTGTCCAGTAGATGAAACACAGCAACTTATTTTATCTGCTAAATGAAATTTCCCAAATTTAACCTGTTTAATTTACATCTGGTGGCAGCTCACTGGTAATCCATAACCAATCTGGTGTCCACTATAATCCTCAGGTCCTTCCCAGCAGGGCTCCTGTATAGCTGGTCACTTTCCAGCCTATACAGGTGTGCAAGGTTATTCCGTCCAGGTGCAGAGCTCTGTGCACCACTTGAACTGCAGGTTTATGTTTAGGAGGCTGCCTTTCCACATAGGTGCTCAGCGTTAACAAACATTAAATAATTGAGGAAAAAAACCACTTTTTCTCCCGTATATAATTTTCCCAGCAGACACTTAGTTTTTAGTTCTTGACTTGAGATGGGGCAATACTCAGATTGCAATTTTAATACAGTTTAATATACTGAAATGTGCTTATTATGTCATTGAGTTTACAGTCAGTTTAAATAAACTTGCAAAAAATATTGCAAAGGCCAAGTGGAGCAGTACCTGACTTCTATTTTATCTTACCTGAAAAAGAGCATTTAATTGTGTTGGAGAATTTCTAAAAGTTTTTCAGCAGAATGATTCTCTATAATAAAAGCAAAGTTACTAAGCCAAACAAATGTATTGTTCCTCTGCCTAGGAAAATTGAGGAAGCTGTCAATTTTGAAGGTTGATCAGAATAAACTTATTCAGCTAACAGATTCAATTGGAGACTGTGAAAGCCTTACTGAACTAGTTCTAACAGAAAATCAACTGCAGGTAAGTATGGTCTTGACTGCTCAAATGGCTAGCAGTAAAAAGGCTTGTTAGGAAGTGTTGATTCACTTAGCTTGTAAGGCTACTCACCATCCCTACTTGCTAAGTAGCTTTCTTTAAATGCATTTTATTTCTAACCTGTTAAAAGGGTGCTGAAGATCAAGTTGTATGTAGTAAAAATTCTCCCTTCTAAAGATCTAAGCAGTTACATATATTCACTCTTGAATCTTTCATGATCACTAAGGAACTGGAGCACCTGGGGTGCAGGTATCATTTACTTAACAAAGTGTTTTTAATGTAGAGGTTGTGCTGCATTGTGTTTTTGCCAATTTTTGCTTTGCATTATCTGGATCAGACTTGAATAAAAGCTCCAACTGATGCATACTGATACTGATGATACTAGGTGTTTTCTTCCTTTTCTTCAAAACTGTGTTCACATGATGTTGACACTTGAAATTGAAAGTGGAAAAGTTTGTAAAAAAATCTGCCTTAGAGCATTTCTTAAGTTGGACTTATGGAGCTTATGTCTTTTGGAAAGAGGTCAGTTCATAGCACCTAGCTGAGAGACTTACCTCTCAGTTAGCTATCTAGGGGGAGCTTCCTATTAGGTACTATGGTGCTACTTCTGCGTACATGCTTCTCTTTGCAGCTGTCATCTGTCCATCTTAGGGCAGAGATAACTCATGAGTGAATTAGTGTTAGGAACTGAAATTCTTAGATATTTCTTCTGCAAGACAAAACCTTGGAACTCCTTCAGAAGGCGCGGTAATAACCAGGAATAACTGCATACTAATTTTGAAAATGGATCAGTCTCTTAATTCATTTTTAAATGGAGATAAGTTTTGTTCTGTCTTTTTGTATTTACAGAGTTAATTTGCATATTTCTTTGTCTCTGTTGGCACAGATATTACCGAAGAGCATTGGAAAACTGAAGAAGCTGAACAATTTGAATGCCGATAGAAACAAATTAACATCTTTGCCCAAAGAGGTAAATCTTGTGCAATTAACTTGAATAGATGCGATTATATAAATGGAAAATTCTAATTTCGCGTTCCTCAAAGTAGTAACGGATGGCTTTGATCTACTGGATGTTCTTTCCAAAAAGGTTGCTACCAGAAATGTGCCCATTAGATCGCAAGAGATTAAATCTGAGCAACATATATGTTGATTTGGTGGCTTGGAAGTGCAAAATGTGCTTGTGGTCTTACAAGACATGGATCTAATCAACTTGTGACTAGTTATTCTCAATGTGGATGTCAGGTTAAGCACTATTTGTGTTGCCGGGGTCACCACTTGTTGCCGCTCTCTCTGCAACATTCGTTTTCCACCCCATAAGATGCTGCTTTGCCAGCGAAACCGACCCCATACCAGGTCGGGGCCAAATGCTCACACAGACCCCAAGTATAGGTGAAGCAAAATGGCGTTTATTAAAATGTAGCAGGCACTTAAATATTCTTGTCCTGCTTTGTCTACACCCCTTGCATACACGCTGTCCTATTATGGGACAGCACCTGGCAAGCCCTGAGCATAGGGAACCTGACCCCGTCACACACCGTCTCCTCGCCACGCCTACTACAATTTGAAAACTGAAAGTTCTGTTTAAGTGAATGCATTTTAAACATAGGTATGCTTCTTCTATAGATAGTATAAAAATTCTGCCAGCAATCTTCCTAGACTCAATCTTGTGAGCAAGACTGAAAAGAGGATTTTCATATTATGAAAAAATATGGTTTTGACTTTCTTCTTAATTCTGGAGATCTCAGACTACTTTTAATATGAGGAACTGAAGTGACCACGATCAATGATATCTGAAACCTTACCAGCTATGCTCTCTGGGACTTCTACACAGAATCACAGAATGACTGAGGCTGACAGGGATCTCTGAGTCCAGTTAGACCAACCCCTACTCAAGCAGGGATATGCAGAGTAAGGTGCCCAGGACTCTACTCTTCTGGCTTCTGAAGATCTCCAAGCATGAGATTCCACATCCTCTGGGCAGTCTATGCTAGTGTTTGATCACTCTCGCAGTAAAGAAGTATTTCCTGCAAGTGCTCCCTGAAGTGCTTTTTGTGTATTGTAACAATATAAGGAGTGAATGAGGGTAGAAGTTCTGGTGTGAAACTAAATATAATGGTGGCCTTACAAGTTTAAGTTCTGGAAAGTGATCAGATCAATATTTATGCTGCATCCTCTTTTCTCATTTACTTGTGATTGGTTAAAGCATGTGACTGAGAACTAATTGTGTTTGCACTGGTATTTCTCTTACTTTTGTCTAAGAGGTTCTCCAGTAGCTAAGGTCTGAGCTTCAATGGGTTGGTTGCAGAAAACAGGCTCCCTTGTTGTTCCTTTCTGGTTTGGTTTGAAAGTGTGCATTTGATAATAGAGGAAAGAGAAAGACAGGAGTACTGCAGCTCCTCTGGCAGAACAGTGACTCCTGCACTGAAATGGTACTAGTGCTAAAGAGAAAATTACCAAGGGTGTACCCAGATGAATTGCATAAATGCTAGCAAGAGACAGGATCTTGGGAAAACTGTTTCTGGGTTGGGATGTAATGACAGTGTGATCTTGTGCTCATTCAGCAAAAAGCTTTCCATGTCTTTACAAAGAACTTAATGCATTTCATGAGTGTCCTAAGCAATCTGTGCTTGAGGCTTGAACAATTACGTCTAGTTTAGCTTTAAACTAGCCTATAGTGTTATAGCATGGAAGGTTTTACTGATGCATGTTCCATTAATAGTTTATGTAGTGTATAGAAACTTTTCTTGATTAATTATATCATAGAATCATAGAATGGTTTGAGTTGGAAGGGACCTTTAAGATCATCTACTTCCAGCCCCCTGCTATAGGAAGGGACACTTCCCACACGACCAGGTTGCTCACAGCCCCATCCAGCCTGGCCTTGAATGCCTCCAGGGTGGGAGCATCCACAACCTCAGTGGGCAACCTGTTCCAGTGTCTCACCACCCTCACAGTAAAGAATTTCTTCCTACTATCTAGTCTAAATCTACCCTCTTTCAGTTTAAAGCCATTTCCCCTCATTCTGTCGCTACCTCCACTTATAAAAAGTCTCTCCTTAGCTTTCCTGTAGGTCCCTTTCAGGTACTGGAAAGAGGGGACCATATCATATCAATGGAATTGGAAAGAGGGAAGTCTTCCATATAAAGTGTGTGTATTTGAGGCAAGCTGAGGAAATGTGGAGTGCCTGGACTGTCAAATCATCACAGGAAAATCAATGTATCCTCTGTTTGCTGATTAAGGGGCAGTAACTTATTACCTTGTGTGGGCTAACCTGTAAGATAAATATTGGCTGTGTATGCTGGGACTTGGAGATGGTGCATGGGGCCTTTTGCAAGGTGTATGAGGGCAAGAAATGTGGCATGGAAGGATCAGGGGAAAGCGTAAGAGCAGAAAATTTGGATTCAGGAGCAAGTAAAGCAGGATAAATATGGGATACATTTGTCTGGCTGGAATAACAGAACTGAGGTCTTGGCCATGGGAAAAGAAGTTATGGATGCTGAACAAGAAATAGGGAATTGAATGGCAGAGGGAAAAAGCTTTGCCTGATAAGTGAAGGAGTTGGGGACATCTAAGGGTGAAGTGAAGAACAAGAGTGTGTGTGAAGGTCATTACTGCATGTAACTTTCAGCACTAGATGGAAAGGGGAGTGGGTACTTGCACAAGGAATGGCCTAAAGTAAGGGGCAAATTTGTGTTTGAGCAAAGTGAGTGATGAGAAAATGAAAGGTGGTCTCTGGAATGAGAGGAGCTAAGGATTTGTAGGAAATCCTTAAAATAAGGATGGGAGAGGATGTTTTACAGGAAACTTGGCAGAGAAACAGAGGAAACAGCTCCTTGGCATCCACTTCTTTGAAATGAATCTATTTATTTTTTATAAAGATCTCCACACCTAAATATCTTTCTCATTCGAGCAAACACTTTCACATTCTGTTTCATGTGACTTCATACTTTCTCCTTAAAGTCTTCACATTGCCTTCTAAAAAAATTTCATAGCTCTAAAAAACAATTGTGTAAATAGAGCACACAGGTGTAACAAGTGCTGTTTGCTGTTAGGCAAAGCATTTACAGGAGTGGATGGGGAGGGCACTTATAACAGCAAAGATGCCAATGATCAGTTTCCCTGTGGTTGGCAGGGAGAAATGATTTGGTGTTGTGGTGTAATGTTCTTTTTACACTTCTTTTCATTACTGACTTAAAAAAAAAAAAAAAAAAAAGAAAAAGAAAAAAAAAAAGAAAAAACCAAAATGTAACCTAAGCTCTGCTAGACCAGCTGTGCAGTCATGATTTTCATCCCTATAAGAAGTGGGTGTGGGACATGAATTAACAAATTTCTGTTAAAGATGCAGTCTTGTAAAATGTATATGGAAAATGTGGGACTTCATGCTATGGAGAAGAACACATGCAACAGATAAGTTTACCCACTGGTATCTTTATCTTCCACTCCAAAGTAGTGAACATTTTTTATACATGCACACACACATATGTATGTATATAATGGCAGAAATTGTATGTCTGCTATGATATTCTTTTATAACCTAGTGAGGTAATTTATGAATTTTAGCTTTTTTGTGCATTTGCTTGGGTTTTGTTGTTGTAGTTGTTAGCAGTTTAATTGGATTGGATTTAGGTTAGCCTGTCAAGCCATTACTCTGCCAGACTGTTTCTATGCACACTTGTAAAATCAGTCTCTGCCTTTTGGTGTAAGATTTCCTGACTTTGGATTATTGAGGAATTCACTTGCAATAGCCTTTCAAAGTTTCCTGACTCAAGGGTTCTTCTGTGTCTGGTGTGGATATAAGATAAAATGTGAAACAGCTGAATGCCTGACAAAGGCTTGAGTCACTGTCAGATTTCATCTTCAGTATCTCATCTTGCAGCTTGATTGCTCTCAGTGAACTGAGTGCTGCAGCAGACTTCAGCAAGAACTGAGTTTGTCTAAACCTGTTTGTAGTTACAAATGTTTTTCCCCTGAAACCTGAAAGACCTGCCCAATGACTCTTTCTTATTGAAATCCCACCCTGGCACTGAAATGCTGGTGAAACTGGAGTGTTGATTTTGGCACTTACATAAATAATCTCTTTGGAATGTTTTCCAGTTCATGTGCTTTCGTTAATGAGCCTCTACAACTTGCAGAGATCTGGTAACCTGTCTTCCTAGCTCTGAGGTGTATTGTGGCTGAGAATTATTGCTACAGTAGATGAAACTAATTGTTTTTGGGGGGCAATAACTGCTCTTTTTACATTTTAGTTTTTTTTAATGGTTGGGGCTGGTTTTTTTTTTTCTTCTGGCTTTGACTTCCTATGTCCTTTCCCTCGTTTTTGTAGAAGTATCTCACAAAGGGGAAAAAGACACTGAGGAAAAATGTAGGAAAACTTGGCTTGAGTCATATGACACAGAAGCTTTGTTGCTGTGTTCCTCTCATACTGTTCACTGGAGGTGGAGGGGATGTTAAAGTGAGTTTGCAGAAAATTCTCCTAACCAGTGTAAAGTTAGGAATAGCTGCTAGTGTTATTTGTGAATTATGCAATTTCTTCCACCTCTAAACTCTCTGTGCTTGCAATTAAAGAATTAATCCTTCTAGTCTGTGGCCAAGGAAAATTCTGTTTTTATTTGTTCTGAATCCAATCAGGATTTTGGTTCGTGACACCCTGGAAAAAGTTTTACAACAAAGTAGTAACTGTTTAAATTAGAGTTGTATAAGCTTATTGAGAATTCTTGATACTGATAGCTGTACTAAAAACTAAGCAGAAGAGATGGCCAACAAAAGAGATAAATCTCAACTGGTCATATACTAAAGAATAATCATAACATTTATGACAATATTGTATTTTCTTGCATTTCTTATCCCTGTGTGAAAGATGCTGTTAAAGGACAGTGAAATTGGTTCATAACTTTTGAGCAGTTAGCAGATGCTGAGATCAAAAGGCGTTATTCAATTAAAGTAACTTTCGGTTCTTCTAAGTTTTCCACCTCTAATTTGTGATTTGGTTTTAGAATGCTAGTGAGAGTATGTCATAGTCACTGAGAATTGGTCAGTAATGATGAGTGGCTGTAACTGCTCAGCTGAGCTCAAGAGAGGGAAAAATAAAGTAAGTTTTTTGGGATGGATCTAAAAGGCAAGAGAGGATCGAATCTGTAAACTCTTCATGGTTTCATCTACAGAAAGCTATAACTTGAACGCAGAGATATCAACAATAAGAAAAAGCAAACGATAGTCGCAAAGTTATTGTAACAGAAAAGTTACAGGAGTCAGGTGATCAAAAAATATTCGTCTAATGGAAGTGTCAAAACAGCAGCCACCATGCAGTAGAGGAGTCGTCGGCAGCACCAGAAGAGAAGTACTAAGGTGTAACAGTTCCAGAGGACTGTTAAATTGGTACTGAGTATGTGGAAGTCAAGAAAGTGGAAGACTGAAGTGGTGAACACTGACTGTGATGAGAATGTGGAGGGGAGTTTTAGCAGGACGAGTTGACATGTTCTTTGTGTATGTCCAAGGTCTTAATGTTTCTCCAGAAAAAGGAAGCTGAACATCAGAGTGAGAAGAAGAACAACACCTCCAGTTTTGTGTGAAACCTAAAGAAATCTTAGTGGCACCCGTAGTTGTAGAGAGCCATCCACATTCAGATAAGTGTAAAAAAAATCATAAAATCGTAGAATTGCTCAGTTTGGAAAAGACCTTAAAGATCATCAAGTCCAACCACAACCTAACCATACTACCCTAACTCCAACAACCCTCTGCTAAATCATGGCCCTGAGCACCACATCCAAACGGTTTTTAAACACATCCAGGGATGGTGACTCAACCACCTCCCTGGGGAGCCCATTCCAGTGCTTATGAACTAAGCACTTTACTTTCTGTAAAGAAGTTTTTCCTGATGTTCAACCTAAACTTGAGGCCATTTTCCCTCATCCTGTCACCTGTAAGCACCTTTCAGATATTGGAAGAGAGCAATAAGTTCTCCCCTCAGCCGCCTCTTCTCCAGACTAAACAGCCCCAGTTCCTTCAGTTGCTCCTCGTAGGTCTTGTTCAGGCTTTGCAGTACTGTAGAATCAATTATCTCAGAGTTAGCCCTTTGTATTAACAATCATTTTTTATCTTAGATTCAGTCTGACTGAACTTTTTGTTGTTCTTGTTTTTAGTCTGAGCTGACTGTTCTCTGAAAATGGTGGGATAGGAGAAGTGAATAACCTTCTGAAGTGGCTATAGTGAAATAAAGCTCAGATCAGTTGTATGTGACTTATACATATACAACATACACAACTCTTTAGAGACATTTTCCTCGTACCCAGCTCACTACAGAAGAATGTGAGGGCTTGGTGAAGCCTCCAGACTTTAGAATAGTTATTTGTGTGCCTAGAATAAAGCACATTTTTGTACATTAAGTGAAGTCTTGTGCTCAGAATGAACTATGTGCTTAACTGTTAAATGGGCTTGTGGTCTAAACTGTGCACTTGGTGCCTCCGTCATGGTTTGGCAAGGTCTTTTGTAAGCATGTGATGAAAACCAGGAAAGCATGAGCAGAGCGTGCCTGGTTCTTTGTCCGTTAATGACTTTCAGCCAAACCAACAAAGCTCCCTGTATTGTATTACTTCATTGTGGTCAAAGTGATGCTTTCCTTTCAGCATGCCATTCGGTGTGTGCCCTGTGCCTCAGTGATAACACTTTGTGTTTAGGTTTCTTCAAACGTTGGATTTGATGTCTTTCTGTACTGCCGGATGAGTGCAGTCTTTTATGAAATGAAGGTGATTTTTTAATTTAACTGTTGGTTTGTCTTTTTTCTCTGTGATATCTCACCTGGTGCTAACTGCTTGTTAGGTGCTGCCTGTGTTTTTGAAAGTTTCATAAAAAGATTTCTGTATTTGTCTGTTGTTCTGTTATCTCCCCCCAGCTGCCCTCTTCAAAAAAAAAAACAAAAAAAACTCTTCACTACCTCTGAGTGAAACAGACTTTGAACAACTATCTGTTAACTGATAGCCCAAAGTTAAAGTAGCTGAAGACAGCAGCAGCTTCCAAGTTCTAACCCTTTTTAGAGTTGAAGAATGTATGTTCTGTCTCCATTTGTTGGCATGCTCTTGTCCAATATGGATAAAGAAAAATAAATTGAACATCTTTTGTATTTTCTTAATTGTTAGCCGCTTGGAAAATTATGGGTCAGGTAAATTGATAACCCTGTAAGTATTATTCAGTCCACAGTTCTACTGTTACCTTTCATTAAACTGCTTTAAATGCATGATGTCTTGGGCTGGCTGGTTCCACTGCTGCATTTTTCCATTGTCACAAGTAGAGAAGTGCCAATCTCATCAGGGCTGCATGGCTTCCTTTGTTCATTTGCCTAAACTGTTTGGATCTTCATGCTCTAAGACTGAATAATGCAAACTTCATTCTTAGTAAAGCAAACATTGTCTACAGTTAGGGCATCACTTGCCAGCTCATCAACATTCACTTAATTGTATCTCTTGCTTTTCATGGCTCCTTGTGTGAGATAAACTAAAAACATATATACAGTTTTTTTTTAATGTATGGCACTCCATGTTCTATAAATGCATCAAGGCACATTATTTGAGAATCTATACTTGCTTTCAAGTGATAAACAGGAGTATTGTACTACAAAAGGTTTGCGTGTGAGTTGAGCATTGGTTTCTAAGGGTTTTGATTCACAAGCTAAAATAGCTTACAGGATTGTTGCTCCTAGTGTACATATGGACCCTGAAAGGCTGATCCTCTTGTGAAATAGCTGCATTGTAGGTGGCAATGATTTAAGGGAAACCAACCCAGATTTTGTTTTGTCAACAGAATATTGTACTGTAACTTTGCACAGTAAATAGCTTGTGAATCAGAAGCCATGAGCAGCTCATGGCTGCCTTCTTCCATTAAAATGTACTTGAAATATAAAGGAAGTCGAGTGGGGTATGAATGCTCATTTTGTTTGTCTTCAAACTCATGGTGGCATCCTTTCTAAAATGCATTTTTTTGCTTGGTAAATAGCATAGGTTGAATTGAAATGATTTTTACTTTGTCTACTGCAAAAGCTTTTGTGGTATGTCTGTAATCTAAAACTTTGTTTTGGACTGAGTTGTGAATTTTGCAGAGTCAGAACTGACAGTTAACAAGAATGTATAGACAATTTTAGTCCAGACTTGGTTACTTAAGACCAAGGTTAAATGAGGTGTTTCCTGCACTATAAGAAAAGAACCTTCTTACATGTATGTTACTGTAGAAATCACTAATTTTTCAGATGAGGCCTTCTAGTAGGTTTGCTGTCTATACTTCAAATCTAAGTCTGCTTAACTAGAAAGCTTCAAAAGGCTTTCAATGTTTTGATGGTAATATTTGGAATAAGGGAAGAAAAGTGCTTTTTTTGTTGTTGTTGTTTTTTTTTTTTTCTTTTTTCTGCTCATGAATTTTGTAACTGGGAAATAAGCAGTAGAGCTTTTTGAAGCTATGTAAGATAAGCAAATAAAGGTAGGTTTTCCTTTATGACTAGAAACAAAGAGTTACTTAAAACAGCTTTCAAGCTGCTAAAATTAATTATTTTGATGTTTACAGAAGTAGCATTTACCATCTGGAACAAAAAGGTGGAATGTTTTCTTTTAATTTAATATAAAAGCTTTATTTTTCTGAGAAATACCTTTGATGCAAATTACAGATACTTTAAGGGTAAAACTGAACTCTCATCCTTTACACCCCAAATTTGGCTTGGGAATGAAGATGCCTATGTTTGGATAAATTGGTAGAGACATAGGAAATTAGATTGAATTGGCCAGGTCAGATAGGAATTATTCTGAAATTAGATGCTTCTAACAGAACAGGACACCGAAGATGTTACTCATAAAGCTTTCTGCTTTTTGTGAACTTTTCATCACTCTTCGTTGACTCAATAAATGTCAGGAGTTGATTGGTTTATTTATTTGATTCAGCATTGCTTAGAGCCTCACTGCACTTTCTTGTATATAAAGTTAGCATGAGGAAAGAAAGAGAATTAGTATGTAAACACTGAGTTCAAAAATGTTGAACGTTAAAGCCAGTGTTTTTTCTGAGGGTAGTCAGCAAAGTGGCTGGTTACTGACTGCTTCCTGGCTTGGAAGGTGATAAAAGGGTAGGTAGAGCCTGACCTGTTTGTAAAAGTACACATTATTCTCAAATAAAGCTCTTTAAGAAACTACTACAGCATACTGTCTTCAGGTCAGGTTTCTTTTAAATTAACACTTGTTTGCAGTCTGTTCCTCTAGGTGAAGTGTCTGGCAGGCATTGTAACTTGAATGTACAATGGCATCTTACGTGACCCGTTCTGCATGCCATTGTTTATATTATATTACTGCAACAAAAAGTCTTTCTTTTTCTCCTTTCTAATATAGATCGGGGGATGCTGCAGTCTTAATGTGTTTTCTGTACGTGACAACAGATTATCTCGAATTCCCTCTGAAATTTCACAAGCCACTGAACTCCATGTCCTGGATGTTGCTGGAAACAGGTAAGATTTTGGTATGTCATGTTCTTTTGCTGGTTTTATATCATTCTTTCTAATGACAGACAACATTCGGTCTAATAATGAAGTTGCAAAAAGACAACTATGACTGTAGTGTTAGCGTTACTGGTGAAAATGTCAAGTAATCTTCCCCAGTGGCACAAAGAAGCGTAAATCATGTGTTTTCGTGTGAAGGGATTCTGGATTGCTTTCAGTTAGGAAAGGATAGGATTTTAAAACCCCTCTAGATCTATATTTATGAATTAAACCTGATAACCTAGACAGTTTTGTAGAGCTTCAGCTCAAACTGCCTACCTTTATGTGAAGTAACAGTAATATTGAGTATCTTAGGGATAACAGCATGAGTGGCAAATAATGCAGCTTTCGCTGCACTGCTTCTCATGAATCTTAGCTGATATACTTCAGAAATCAAAGTGCAAAAGAGATCAGGTTGAAGCATAAACCAGCAAATAAATGCAGTTGCTTAGCAAGAACTTAAGTGAAAGAAAATAAATGAAAGACAAGTGGCACCTCATCTGTGAAATGTAATTACTTCATAAGCACTTCTGTTGTGGCAATTGTATATGTGAGGTTTCAGAGCAGAAGCAGCAATCTGCATCCCAGGGCAGTTTACTGCGTAGAAAAAGCTCAGCATTATTTTGTCTTACTCATAGCTACAGGGAGTTAAGCTGCAGGTTCTTTTTAAAAGAACAGTATAGTTCAAGTTGATGAATACTATAATGCTGTGTATTAGAGGCATTAACCTTACTCCAATTTATTCCATCTCAGAGCCGTATACTGAATAGATGCTCATGAAGTTGACTCATAAGTCTCCCAGAGGTTACCTTGACTTTTCCCATCTTTCTTTTTTGAACTAGGCTGACGTATCTTCCCCTCTCATTGACCACCTTAAAGCTGAAGGCTTTGTGGTTGTCTGATAACCAGTCCCAACCTTTGCTGACGTTTCAGACTGACACAGACCCTGAAACAGGAGAAAAGATTTTAACATGCGTATTACTTCCTCAAATGCCTTCTGAGCCTGGTTGCCAAGGTAAATGCTTAGAGTGTCTTTTTGATTGCATATAGAAATACTTCTTTGTTTGCTGTGTTTTCTGTTCTGTAAAGGTTTGTACATCAGGCTTTTTGAAATCTTTGCGTCAGCTCTACTGAGCACAGTTCTGGTTTAATTTTTACTTTTAATTATTTTTTGGTAATTGTGCAGGGTTTCAGAAGACTTGCAAACATGATTGGGAATGTTAATGACAATAAAATGCCAGCGGTTACAATATATAAAATACAGACCTGGAGGAGGATGGCTTAATTAAGTCTGAGGTTTGCCAGTGGACCGAATAATGGAGTCCATATTTGCATACATTATTTATGCATTTTAAATTACACATACATACTTGGTGAAAATGGTCGGTCTTCCTGCTACAGTCTCTTTGCCAGAAAAATAATTGAATTGCCAATAATAAGCAGATGTTTTACTTCTTAGTGCCCTAAGTTTCTTTCAAGCAGATCTACTTTACAGTAATTTGTATTCTTCAAAAAACATAGAAGCATAGTTTTAAGTTACATTTACATTTTATGCCTGCCTCTTGATCAAGTGGAACTGCAAACTCGTCTTCACTGTTTGCTGTTCCAGTGGCTTCTGGATGTTATTTGTCTTCCAAAATTTTTATAGTGGTGTGTGAACATTGAAGGGGATTTACCTGCACCAAATATTTAAACTCTTTCTGTAATCATTGGAGAGTAATGTATCAGAATCAACTTTTAGAATAAACCAAGTGGATTGCTCTCTGCTGGGAGCCCGAGGAGAAGAGCTCAGCTGTAGATATCTGTGTTATAGGTGACTATGCTTAGATGATGGTAATTCAGTCTTTCAATACTGTGGAGCTGGAGCAAATAGGAACTGTTTTAACAGTTGAAGTGTGGAAATGACTGTTGTATGTGAATTTCAGGGTTTTATGGTGTACAAATTACATTAAGAATTAAAAGAAGTAAATGAATCAACCTGTTTAGATTTTGAGAAAATTAGTTACCTCAAGAAGAGTCATGGAGATGGAATGTCTCTCTAAAGGCTTCACTAATAGAAAATCTCGTCGTCTCCAAAAATTTCTTCATATGGCTTCAGAAATAGAAGACTTGGAATTAAGATTGTTGGACATGTGCGTCTAGCAACAGTAAAAGGAAGGATTGGTAAAAGTAATGATAGTGTGATATGGAATGCCATTTAGGTAACTGGCTAACAAGTGGCAAATCTAATGTGAAAGACAAACGTATAATGGCAAGTACATTAAGTTATATATTCAGGTTGTAAAACCATCACAAACCTGAAATAGTCCAAGTATAGGAATTTCCTGTTTATATGGAAACTACTTACTATGTGTACTTGATAACAGAAAATTAATGCTAGTTCTGTTTTTTGTCCAAAATACATAAATAGACAGTTGCATATCTGGACTGGAGGTTGGTTGGATATTGCCGTTATTGACACTTGTAGCATGCTGATGTTTTAGACTTTCTGTGAATCTTCAGTTATGTTGCTGTTCTAGCAGATAACCTGCCACGATGTGGTGCGTTGGAGAGTTTGGTAAATGAGATGTCAGATGAGACATGGAATGAACGGGCAGTGAACAGAGTCAGTGCAATTCGCTTCTTAGAAGATGAAAAAGATGAAGAGGATAATGAAATGGTATGTTTTCCAAGACTTTGGACACCTGCAGGCACTGTGATCTTAATGCGAAAGTGTGAAAAGAATCTGAGCTGTTTTGCTGTAAATATTTCAGCCGTGACTGCATGCATTTTGGTCATACTAATTGTAGAAACTGTTCATATTGACTGCTGAAACTTTTCATATTGACATGAAATGCTTCTTTTTTTTCCTCCTTTTTGTTTTGCTTTGAATATAACTTTAAGTTTTCTGATGCAGGGCAGTCTTTGTTTTGCTTTCTTTTCCTGTGTTTCCTCAGGATGCTTTCTCTCCAGCTTTCCAGAAACAAGATAGGATCTTCCTCTGCATCTGTGAAGCTTTACTGCCTGAAAGTATATAGAATCTAATTTAGGATTCCAGCACTCTGGCATGCGTCTCCGCTAAGTTTGCTACCCAGCTACATTGCTTCTCTCTCATTTCTATTTCTGGTCTCTCTCTGCATTTCTTCTTTTATTCTTTTTCACCGTTTGCATTGAAATAACCTTACTGTCCATGAACAGCAAGGTTTATGCTCATTAGTTTCCCACTTAAATCAAGGATGTGGGAACATCTGTCACTGTACTTAAAGACCTCTCCATTAAGTTGGGCGCTGCATGTCCTGTAGATCAAAATGCAACTTAATCTTTAACTTTACTAACTTTTATTAAAAAGTGTAAATCTCTGTAAAGATTAAGAATGCTTCAGTCAAATGTTTTGGCATGCTTCTTTAATGATCTAAAAACTTGTTAGTTGTTCTCATTAGAGCTCAGCCTGACATACTTCAGAGCACTATCTGGATTGTAGCATGCTATAAGCATAGTCTTTCTTTGGAAAGTGGCTCTAAAGATTCTTACCTGGTAGGGAAATGAACATTTAAGTTTCCAAATAAGATGCTTGCTTAGCCCAAAGCTGGAAACCAAATGTCTTTGACAAGCATTGTTTGTAGATTGACTGATAAGAAAGTTCAGAATGATGCTTGTTAACAACTGTGTTACCTAAGAATGCCCCTGCCAGGGTTGAGTTGTTAATGATAACTGTTTTCAGTCATGGTATTGTGGACTGACATGAGGCAATAACCTTTGTAGGGAAAAAAGAGGCTTATGATCCTTTTTGGGGAGGGTGGTGATTTCTAAAGAGGTCTTGACCAATCTGCTTATTTATAGCTGGGACATCAGTTCCCCTGTAGTTTACATGTCAATGGCATGCATATACTTTACATGTATGATCTTGTGGGATTTTTTCAAAACCAGCTGGATCATGATTTTTTGTTTTATTTTGAAATACGATCTTATATCACCTGGATATTTTTGAAAAAATAAAAAAAATCCCAACTATACTTATGATAGAATCTTTAATTCAGAAGTTGTAATTGTATTTCATTTGAGTGGCTTTCAGATGTTTAGGTCAACAGGGGAAAACTTTTGCTCTTAAATAGTTCTTAAAACCTCTTTTATTTGTCTTCACAAACAAGCAGCTATGAAAATAACTTTCAAAATAAAGCATAGTAGTTTGAAAAGGAAAAGGAGGAAAAATGAAGAAAAAAAAAATCAATAGGTACTATTTTGTATGTAAATGCTAAAGCCTTGAAAGCGTATGTTGTTTTTCAGAGACAAAGGCAAAACCACTTATTGCACTGTTTATTTTTAGAGAACACTTCTAAGGCGAGCCACTCCACACCCTGGAGAATTAAAGAACATGAAAAAGACAGTGGAGAATTTACGGAATGATATGAATGCTGCTAAAGGACTGGATTCAAACAAAAACGAGGTCAATAATGCCATTGACAGAGTGACCACTTCTGTGTAGAATTTCATCTCCAGGTTTTACCTCCTGTGTCTTCCCCTGCTGTTGAAATGTTCCTGTCGTCTTCTGGGACCTCACTGAGCCCCCTTTTTGTTTTTAACCAGAGCCTGATTCATCGTCTCCATATATGTGAAAAGTACTACCCACTGGAAGAAAGTGCCTTATTTCATCCAGGCAGTGAATCAATCATTTCCAAATCAATATTGTAATTTCAATAGTACTATGGTTTTTTAAGTATAATACACTACTGTATGCAGAATACAATATTTTTATCATAAACACAGGGGAAATAATGCTTTTCTTTTCCAGAGTGCTGGGATATCTTCTTCCCAGTGGCTGGATGTGCTGGTGAGAAATTTAGTTTTGTGGAAAATTGATACTCTTTTTTTTTTTTAATTTTTTTGGCAGCTCAGATGGTGTAAATTTTAAAATTTTGTATAGAACTTTCATAACAAAATGATGTATTTCATTTTTAAGAGAAAATTTATCTTGAGCGGTACATATTTTAGTATTTGTGGAAGAGAACAAGTTTCATGGACAACTGTATTCATTTGTTTGTACCACCCATTGTGCCTTATTGTCTCGTTTGTCATCCTAGTCTTAAAATAGCAGTTCTTGAGGAAAGTGAGTACATTTAAACTTGGTCTCCTGTTTTAGCTGTGTTTTTCTTTTCAGACAGTAATTTGTTGAGATTTTTACAAAATGGAATTTATGTTTATACCATGGGATTTTAGTTCACAAAGCACAAATGTTAGTTTTGTTATATATGGAATTAAGATTAAAATGACCCAACTGCTATTGTTTATTACATTATGCACTCACACTTTAACTTAGTTGTAACGAAACAACTTGTTTTGGATGCAGTGTTGCATTGCAGTCACTAGAAATTCATGCTTTTTTTTTTTTTTCCCAAATGTGCCATCTGTAAAAATAACTTCAAAAGCAGCACGATAGACTTTCAGAAGCACAGTATAATTCTAGTTTTATGTAATACACAAGAAAGCATGATTCTTTTAAGTGCTTTGGTGGTTTTATACAAGTTTATAAAACCATAATAATAATAATTAAATAATAATAATAAAAAATCTTTAAAAGCTTCAATAGATTTATTGTATCATTAAAATAGCAATTAAAGTAATGGATCAATATTGGCATTTACCATGTTGCACTCTACAAATTGGCATTGTTACCATGTTGCACTTCCAGTGGTCCAGTGGTGATTTCAAGGTCTTATTAAATCTGTGGGTTCTGGTGTGTTTATAAAGGTAAGTATTAACTGAGCTGAATTCAGTAAGTAACAATTTTGCAAAAGGCTGATAAACATTGATTTTTGGTGTCCATAGGTTCTCTGTGTGCCATGAACTAACAGAAGTCTCTAACTTGTTCAGCAAAGAGACTTGAGCAGTCTGAGTTCAGGGCACAGATCTTACATTTTTAGTGTGACCAAATGCAATGAAATTAAATTTCAACAAAATGAAAGACATGATGCTTCTGCACGTATGGCTGACCACATCCATTCTTCCACCTGATGTTTATTCTAGTATGTACTGGGGAAAGAGGAAAATGAGTGAGCCATGATAACTTCTCTATTAAAATTAATAACAATCTGCAGTATTTGACAGTTTTTGTAATTTCTTAAATTATTACTTGAGGTTTTTACAGACAGCATTCCTTTCTATTTTTAAATCAAACAAGTAAGTATTGCAAGCCATCTCCAAATATTCAAACCTAAACTGGCAAAATATATTTGAGTTTTGTTTTCTTCTCATCCCAATGACTCCTTCTAATCTTTGAGGCATAATCTCTTTGGAGGAGCTGCTATGGTTTGATAGGTGTTATGTTAATTCATGGATGGTGCAGCTGCATTCTTCCCAAGGTAGAGTTCTGGCAATTGTTCTTGATAAGCTGCTATTAAAATAACATGAGAAAGAAAATGAGGTTTTGGTATAGTTGACGCTAATTTTGTGTAGAATTTGTCTTTTAAAGTATTTACAGGGATTGGCAGAACCAGAAGTTAAAAAAAAATAAAATACAGGAAACTCTAACCATTAGAACCCAAGTAAAACTTAGCGAATCTTTGTGAATGAGGTGAAAATGAGTTCCTAAAAAAGACAGACCAAAGACAAAGGCAGAAAGACTATTTTATCTTTGATGACAGATATAGCGTTTTTCATTTTCATCCTAGGTGTAGGAAGGCCCTTTAGAGGGATCTGGACAGTCTGGATCACTGGCATGAGGCCAGTGAGAGGACATTCAACAAGACCATGTGCCACGTCCCTCACTTTTGATGCAATAACCACAGGAAATGCTCCAGGCTTGGGGCAGAGTGGCTGGAAGACTGTGTGGAAGAAATGGTTGGTTGATGCTCAGCTGAACATGAGCCAGCAGTGTGCCCAGGTGGCCAAGAAGGCCAATGGCATCCTGGCTTTTGTCAGAAATAGTTTTGCCAGCAGAAGCAGGGAAGTGATCATCCCTCTATACTCAGCTCTGGTGAGGTTGCACCTTGAGTACTGTGTTCACTTGTAGGCCCCTCACCCTAAGAAGGGCATGGAGGCTCTGGAGTGTGTCCAGAGAAGGGTAACAAAGCTGTGAAGGTTCTGGAGCACAAGTCTTATGGGGATTGGCTGAGGGAGCTAGGATTGTTTAGTCTGGAGAAGAGGAGGCTCTGGGTGAGACCTTATTGCTCTCTATAACTACCTTAAAAGAGGTTGTGGCGAGGTGGGGATTGGCCTCTTCTCCCAAATAACTAGCAACAGGACTAGAGGGAATGGCCTCAAGTTGTGCCAGGGAAGATTCAGGTTGGATATTGTTTTTTTTTTTTTTTCTCTGAAAGAGTGGTCAGACACTGGAACAGGCTGTCTGGGGAGGTGATGGAGTCACCATCCTGGGAGGTGTTCAAAAAATGTTTAGATGTTGTACTGAGGGAAATGGTTTAGTGGAGAAGTATTGGTGTTAGGTGAACGGTTGAACTTGGATTTGGAGGTCTTTTCCAACCTTACCTTGGTGATTCTGAGATTCTGTGATTTAGGGCATTTAAACTGTGCACCTACTCCCCCCGATGAAGTCAGAATTATCCATAAACCTTGTAATAGCTTTATAATAGTTGCTTTGTCATTGTTTTATTTTTAAAAATGGGCTTTTAGTCCCTCTACGGAGGCAGAGAAATGAGGCTTAACTTTTGTTCAGTCCTGAAGTGGTCAGGCAGCTGTACTAGATGATCTCTTGAAGGTTTCTTCCAACTGAAATATTCTATTCTGTTAGGTAATTGCTTTTTGCATGCTCTGGAAGGCTTGTGGAAACTGTTCTGCAATCTAAAAGTTAATTGGAAAGCAGGCAGTACTTGCTGTCTTAACTCTGCTATGAAGCAAGTGCTTTAGAATCTAGTCTCCCTGTGGTCATCCAAGCCAAAGATAGGTGATATGAGTTGCTTATAAAGGTGTTTCTTTGTTTCCGTTGATTCGTAAAAGAAAATAAAGTTAGCTCAAAATGTGATTCATCTAGACATTATAGGAGCTGATGTCTACTGTGAGACCATCCTACTACTATCCTGAAAGGAGTGTCTTTTCTTTTTTTTTGATAGTAGAAGAATGCATGTATATTCCCAGTCCAAACAGTGGCAAATGGCTACCTTCTCTTTCCCCCAAACATAAATGTTGGGTTCCCACTGGGTTCATCATAAAAGGAGGGGTTGCATATCGTTTCACCCATTGAACATGTGGGTAGCCCAGACCAGTGGATTCCTGTGATTTCTCAAATAGTCTGCATACATGACATTTTATAAAGGGTTTTAGGTACACTTGTACTCCCAACAGTGCCAATACAGTTCCAGGCAATTTTAACCCTATTTTTAGGCAGAAAAACCTGGTGCTGAAGGAGTTTGAGAATCTGTCCTTGAAAACAGGAGCTTTCCCTTTCTAGTCTCTCTGTCTGGCCTTCTTTAGTCTTGCTGATGCTTTTCGGAGCCTGAATAGTGAACATATTATTATTTTTTTCTTTTTTTTCCTCCTCTTTCAACTTCCTCTACTTTTTCAATGGCTTTGTAAGCCATTTGGGAGGTGGTTTAATGCAAGGAAAGAGAGTCTGCATTATTTGCATGCTGCTATTAGCTAAATGGTTAACAAGGGAAAACCAATTGACCATAGTGCTGGAGTGGATTTAATATTAACCTGTTTTTATTGAAAGTCACAATTCCATAGGCTTAGAAAAGCAAAAGCAATAGTTGGTGTAGCAAGTGATTTTTCCATCCCCCTTTTCTTGCTGCAGATGTTTTTCACAGTTTCTATACAATTTATATGTCAAGATTATTTTTCTAGCTTGCATTCCGTGTTTTTGATAATCAGTGTGTGGTTGTGAAGTGGTACTGGAAACTTGCATATTGATTTTTTGTTTCCCCAGGAAATTACTTGTTTGTGTCCAGGACAAGCTGATCAGGCTGTCTAACGGGGAGTGCTTTTACCTGTGCTGAGTGAACTATTTTTGGCTGTTTAGCTATTCAACACGTTTCACTATTTGATGCTCATGAATTCAACTTTAGAGAGGAAAGTAATGATACCAAGAACTAAATTTTTGTGAAGTATACTCTTTAGTATGTTAGTTGATATAGCCTGAATGTTGAATATATGATTAGCTGTGAATTGTGTACCTCCCACTGAGACTGGTATGCACTATTATGAGAAATATGCAGATCTCTTGCAAATGGAGATTTCACTGCCTTTCTTTGCCTTGCATTTGGGAAATAGAATTATTTTGATTTTTTGGCTTGGTTGAGAATGTTTCCCACCTTCTATTTCTCTCAAATGCACAAGTCTGTTTCTGTGCTTATGTTACTGTCAAAGAAGATGAGAAAAGTGAATTGGCCTTGGTTTCGGGTGTTCCCTTCCTCCCAAGCCATTTATGACATTTTCAGAAGGATAATGCCTTTCTTTTTTGTTCTGAATTCAGCAGAATACTCAGATTTCAACCAGTTTAATGAAAAATGTGAGATTTCCAGAGTGGAAATACAGGCGCTTGGTTTGAGGGCTGCTTTGCAGGAATCATCTTATCTGCTCTTCTTGTAGATGTTGGAGATGTGATGCATTTTATCACTAGAGTCAACAAAATGGCCAGCCTTGGAATCTGGAACAGCAGGATACATAGGAGTACATGTGTCTTAGGCTGAAATATTTGGGTTATGAGTTGAAGGCATAGTAACAACCATAATCAAAATGAACACTCTCTAGATAAGTAAGTTTGTAGAATCATAGAGTCATTGGAGTTGGAAGAGACTTTTAAAGGATGCCTAGTCCAACTCCTCCACAGTGAACGTGGATAAGTACTGACTGTAGTAACTTTATTCAAAATCCATGGATGCTTGCACAGCTTGGGAATACCACCAAATCTTCATCAGCT